TTATTAACTCTAGACTATTTGATAGCCTTCTCAGAAAGAATTTCAGAATGATTAAAGAAAAAAAAAAGTCCAGATTTAATGTCTCCATTTGACACCCATGACCTTAAACTTTCTGATGGCTGGAGTTACCAGGAACTTTGAGACAATTTCTTCTGGATGAGCAAAGAAATAGGTTTCAGCAGTTCCAAAAGCCATGGGCCAAACAGTTTTTCAACCAGCATTATTGCTCAATTACTGACCAAATTGCTAATTTCTGGATTTGGTGAAGGAAAAAACAGAGTAGGAATTTTACACCTGTCCTGTTCTGAATCTTGTTATCTGTGGAAACACCATTTGCTTAAAAGGACTTATGCTGTTACTCCTAATATCTAAAAGGGTAAGAGGAACAGAAGTCAAATGCCTTACTATATATGCAAGAGCCACTGATGGCTGATCAGTGGCAATCATGGACAATAAATATTGTAAAGTACTGTTAATATTTAATCCAAAGAGCTGATGTATTACAGGCACTAATTTTGCAATGTTTTAAAAAACACAAACTACTTCTAGTCCCTCCATAAAGTTCAAGTTTACTGGATAGATAACGAAAGCAGACAAGAAGTATTTTTATGGGCTTGTGTTTTCCACAGCCCAAATTCTAGATATTTTTACTGGTACCCGTAGAAGACAACTTGCATGTGTCTATTCTTTCTTGCCAGATTTTCTCTGTCTACTTGTGTGTTGCAATTTCAAATCATGTTCTGGCTTATCCAGATTTGTGCTTGCTTGATCCATCTTTCACAAACCAATGAATTATTTTTAATTACAGTTAAAAGATGACCCAGTGCCTCTCTCACATTGAATAATGGCACAGGACGTATAATAATAGCCATCTGCAGATCACTTTTATTGGATGCCCAAGGAGCCAGCAAAGATTATGGCTTTTCACTTTTTGTCTGCATTACAGTAAGAGTTTTAATTTCTTCTTTACTGATTTTTTAAGGAAAAAAAAAAGCAAAAATAAGAGGAACAACTTAATAAATTACCAACAGAGCAAATTAATGAAACCAAATCACCTAGATTTGATTTTGTTAGTGCATTGTTTGGGTTTTTTTGGACAACGCATTACAGCTGAGTCTTCTCATTTGGCCTTCAAGGTACCTTCTAGGTAAACTGTAATGGGTAAAAACTAATACAGGGACAAACACACACAGTTAATTCCCCACATAAGAAAAGGCACAGTAATTTAATAGCTAAAAATTAAAAATCATTCATGGTCAGCTTCAGCTATGTAGCCACTCACTAACCCCTTCAAACACATTAGATATTATCCTGCCAATTTCAGACATGAGACCCAGGAAGAACATGAATTCATATTTCCTAGAAGTTTCTATTTCATCCTGGAACAAACTAATTTTTAATAGATTATTAGAAGATTAAGCAAGTATAGCTAGAACTCATTGATACGTTATTAATCTGGAATAGACATTATCTCAATTATTGATTTAACATATGCTTTGGGGAGAAGAAAAGCAGACATTTTCTGCCATGCAATAAACGTATTTGCTAAGGGACAAGGAGCAATAGCCTATCCCAAACAGAAAACTGATTCAACAGAAGTGGCTAACAAGTTTGATGAACACTGCAGGATCATGTGAATCATAAAAGCATCTTCCAACTGGTGGTATCAAACCTGCGATTAGACCTAGCAGAAGGAACATATCATAGAACCATATAATAGCTTGAGTTGGAAGGGATTTTTAAAGGTCATCTAGTTCCAACCCCTCCTGCAATAGGCAATGTCATGTTCAACTAGATCAGGATGTGAAGAGACCTGTCCAACCTGATCTTGAATGTTTTTAGAGATAAGCACCCACAAATTCTCTGGGCAACCTCTTCCACTCAGTATTTCACCACCCTCATTGTAAAATATTTCTTACTTATACCTAACCTAAAACTATTCTGTCACCACAGAATAGTGACAGAATACAAAGTCTAATAAAATGTCTGCCCTGATAAAAAGTCTGTCCCCATCTTTCTTATATTTTTATTGTATATATTTTGTACTTTTATCTCTAAGTACTGAAAAGACACAATAAGGCCTTCTCTTCTCCAGGCTGAACGAGCCCAGCTCTCTCAGCCTGTTTTCATAGGAGAGGTGCTCCAGCCCCCTGATCATCTTCATGGCCTCCTCTGGACCTGCTCCAACAGGTACATGTCCTTTCTATGCTGGGGTCCCCACAGCTAAATGCAGTATTCCAAGTGGGCTCTCACCAGAGCAGAGCAGAGGGGCAGAATCACCTCCCTCGACCTGCTGGTCACACTCCTTAATAATAGAAGAAACAAATAACGAATACTTCTTCAAACTATATTACTAAAAATTGTAAACTAAAATTTAAAGTATTTAAAATAAATGCAGTAAGAAGTAGGTGATATAGCTGACCAGATAAGTTATTTAGGTAGCATTTAAGAAAGAGACATTTTAAAGAAATCCATAGGTGAGTTTAAGCATCTCACAAAGCAATACGGCTTGAAAGAAATGTTGCTTGTATTAGGCAAGCCAGTGTTAAACTCTAGAAGTCCCTATATATTATGCTTTCAGGTGACAGAAATTAGCCACCAGAGGGAGCCTACATAAGCTGGTCCAAAGGACACCATTGTACAAAGAGAAATTTTAGATACGCAGGTTAGAGTTTAAGAAAATAATTGCCTACATCTAGAAAACTTGACTGAAACCTTTTTATAGTCCACACAATAAAACAGCCTTCTCCTATACTTCATTTCAGATTAATTCTTATTTTTATAGACATAAGAAAGAGCAAGTAAACTCTGCTACAAAGAACCGTAACTATAGCTACAATATACCAAAACCATACTTTGTTATGCATTACTTTTTTAGTTTACTTTGTTCTCAAAATTCAGTATTTCAGAAAGCAGCCTATAATCTAATTTGGTATAGTAGCACAAAAATAGTATGGGAGAAGGCCTACATAGTCCTAAGGAATTTTTAAGCATTTCCTTCAAACAGATTTAGGACTGGAATCTTAAGCAACAGTGAAGCACATAAGACGCCTTTTCTACATTTGTTTTGTACCTCATGTCAGTATCATTTTTACACTGAATATTTAGATTTATCTGAGAAGCCACCTCTTTCTCCAGTCTAATTAATACACACATCATGAAGAAAAACTTCCAACATTTGTTGCATGAGTTACAGTACCTTTCCATTAAGTACAGTCCTCAGAGGCAGAAAAGTATATTTTTAATCAAGAAAAAGCAGACCTTACCACATTGAATGTTTCCGTTTCATTCTTAGAAGGCTGATACCTTCCTTTGCCTTCCAAATCTTTGTAATTGTCAAAGCTGTATGATTCTAACTTAATACAACAAATACAATAGAAACAGTAACTACAATTAACATCAATGGCAGTTGGCATTTCTAGTCTTTAAGACTTCACAACTTCTTGTGAATTTATATTCTTTTACTGCTGAATTTGCCTGTGCTTTCCCTCTGCACCATGACAGCTTTACAAAGTTGGTATCAATAAAATAATTGAAAAGAAAATTCAAGGTGCATATATTTCCACACTAAACATGCTATCTTTCCTTAGAATACTTTGCTTTTAGAAGAGTTGAAGAAATGTAATTTGGGAAAACTTTTATTTGGCCCCAGAGAATACAAATGGGATTTGAAGAACTCTGTAAAGCAGCAAGTAAGTACTAGCATGTGTAACTTCTCCTATTAAATTAAAAAGTGAAGCGTTTCTTTTCTTACTATTACTGTGTTGTCTAGGAAAAAAACCCACAATAATAACATGGATGACTTGAAGTGCAGAGTGCTCTAGCATACATTAGGAAGTGTCTTTGCAACCCAGGGAATCAGAATCATAAATGCAAGATGGAGATCCCTAGTGATTGACACCTCACAATAGCTAGTCTGAACACAGGTCTTATCACTAAATTTCCTGATTTCAGACCCATGTAACTTGAACCTGTGAAGTTCATACTTTTTCTTCATTAATTTTTACTGAGAAATTGCAGAATACGCAGGAAAGATTTGAAAATTGTTCCATATACAGTCTTACCTCAGCCCACTCGGCTATCAGCATTAGTCGATGACAGAAAGAATATGAAACAATGTTATATTAAAAACACCTAACAGAGGCACTGTAAGATACCTAATAATACTATTTAATAATATAATATAAATTCTTCAGACCTACTGTGTTATGTGTATCCTTATTCTCAAAAAGACATTTGTACTTCTATACTAGAGGAGAGAGATGCTAGTCCGAACTGTCAGTGCTGAAGAAAACAGAACTACTGAATTCTTGTATTCATACACCTAGTGACCGTATATTCACGCCCTAATATTAAACTCTTCGTTCTTCCTATAATGCTAGAAACACAGTACTATGATATGGTCTTTTTAAAAAAGTCTTATATACCACAGTCAATAAGCAATACATTCAGAAAGCACTACTCAGTTTGCTGCTTAGTGAAGAAACAATCTATATACAATTTATTTAAACGGACACTTTTGTAAACTAATCAAATAAACTGATGCAACTGTTCCAAAAGTTTGATAAGCAGCTTTATAGACATCTGTTCTGAATATAATTTTTTTAATAAATCTATATTCATGTTCTGAAGTATAATTTATGCAGAAACACATAGCAAATAACACATAGTTTGTGCAAGGAACTTCAGTTTCTTGACAAATTTCACTAATGTACCAAGGAACAGTATAGTTTAAAAGCTTTCTTGAAGATCTACATAGAGGAACTCAGAGCTAAAAAATGCCATGCTTTATGAACACAAATACTACACATACACAAAATCGTGTGTTATCAATTCCTATGAATAATTTTGTATCAAAACTAATTAATTCTGAGAATTTGAAATTTTAAGTACCTTAAAAATACAGCACATTAACAAACAGGGGGTTGACCTTTTATTAAGAGTGGAAAACTTAAGTTTTAAAATTAACATTTCCTACTCTGGTTTTTTTAATCTCTTACCAGGTCTTTCCTTGCCAGTTCCTTTTGACTCAGCAAATTTCTGTATTAAACTCTCAACTGTAGTATTTGTCATGTTAATGATAAATTCTTCATGCACCTTCAAAAAAAACACACCACACACAAAAGGAATTTAAAAAACAGTAACTGAAGGAATGTAACTAAGTAGTTTTCTCTAGAGTTGAAGTTCAAAATACTTCCCTCTAAAATATATTACAGGGCTTACAGAAACGAACAGGCATTTTAGGATTAGGAAGTGTGTACAGTGCAGTTACAAATTAGGAATGAAAGAATACAGTTTGATGAAATGTCTAGAATTTACTTCAATTTCCTCCATCCAAAATGACTTGCGTATATCATTTTCTGAATTTGTCAGCAATATGCCCCACTACCATGTCAGGAAGACAAGCAGTCTCCTAAGCCAAGCACCAGTTAAGGGCGTGAACTGTTGCTACTGTATTATCACAGCTCCCACCTGCTTGAGTAAAAGCATTACTGTTGTAATGTTTTTGGTATGACAAAGGAACAACCGCGTATTCTTAATAAGAATTTTTTCCAACAACGCTGTATGTCTATGCTTTAGAAATAAATAGTATGACCCTTGTGATCACTACTTACTAGCAGAAAACCTCTAAACTGAGGAAAATAGTGACTCTAACAGGATGCAAATAAAACTCCACTTCAAAACATCTAAAAATTAAGAACTATTTCTGAGCATTATTAATTAAACCAACTAAAGAAAAGACACTATAAAATATTCCATTACTGACAAAAATTTGGAAACTTCATATTGATATAATTTCAAGTTTAATCAAATAATAGCAGAAGTATCCCAATTATGTGTGAAATGAGTGCTAATTCAATACCTAGAGAACAGAATTTCAAAAAACACTAAAAATTCTTTATGTTGTCAAAATATTTTGTTTTCTATTGAGACTAAATTTATTCAGACTTATTCTGTAAATCTTGCGATGCTGAATTTACAAATGCAACAGGAAGCCATAAAAATTAGAGCTTATGTTGGATTTACCATAATTTGAAAGATGTGATCTTGTAATTACCATAAACACAGTAACAAATCTTCCACTTAATAGTTAGGAAATATATGTAGCATAATAAAAAAAAATAATTTACCTCTCCTATTTGTAAATGAACTTCTTTTATGGTGTTTGACAATGATTCTATAATCTCTTTCATACGAAGAAGATGTGTTTCTTCAATGTCTTGAAATTTCTGTAAACCAATACAAGAAATTGTAATGAAATCATACTGAAAGTATTTCTTGAAAGACTAAACCTTAAATTTTAATAATTAAATACACTAACAAAAACCCCTAACCCCCCTCCCCCAAAAAAAACAACAAACAAAAACCCCCACCCGTTCATTTTTTTGCTTGGTTGGTTTTGTTTTGGGTTTGGTTTTTTTTTTCCCCCAAATCTTGACCATGGTAATTATAATGTTTAAGAAACGAAGATGCAGAATTCAGTTATGAAATAATGTACTTTAAAATACAATATATTCTTTTAGATCCATTATAAAATTTTTTACTTGCTCTTTAAATTTTCATCCATCTTTATAAAAAAAAAAAAAAAAAAAAAAAAAAAAAAGAAACAGAAAAAGATTAGGTATTTCTACCAAAAGGAAACAGGGTTAGAAGGTGTTTTAAAAAAAACCGACCTCTTTTCTCCATTACTGAAGTCTTGTTTTTTCATCTAAACCCAGAAATCTTATTTCTTAATCTGCTTTGCACTTCCTTCTTGGCACTGTCTCCTTCTGCTCACAAAATATGCATGCTTTCTCTTTTTCTAGCTAAACCTATATCCTTTGATTCTTTAATTGTGATTAATTTCTTTGATCTTTAAACTCACTGCATATAATCTTTTAGGTTTACTCCATTTTATCACACGTCAGCTAACACCCATTTTAAAAGCACCTCCAATGTTTTCAATGACCCCTCCCTAGCCAAAGATCAAAACTAAAAATGTTCTCATCCTCCACAACAATCAACCATAATTGTCTTGAAATATTTGTTTACTTTTGCTCGTAGTTCTCTTCCTATTTCTGTAACTGTCCTTTTAAGTGTGTCCAAACCTTGGAGCACCACTTAATTCTCTCTCCAATTTGTATAGGGTTCTCTGAAGAGCATGTCTCCACGTTTCACACCTCCTGCTACTCTGATTCCCCAACACATCTCCATACAGACAAGTCAAGTATCTAACTTCTCCAATCTCACTTTTTCTTTTGCCATACTTACATTCCTCTCTAGCCATCAATCAGGTTTTTTTTTTTCCCCAGCAGCCTTACTCTTAATTACAGAGGATATGGTCATCCTCTGCAGCCTACTCTGTGATGTGACTTCTCCTACTGATTGCCTTATTACATAAACCATATTATTTTGCTTTCAAAACTATCTATGGTCCACCTCTACAATATCTGCTCCCAGTCACTCGCTATCAGGGTGTCGACAAATGTACACAACATGTTCTTTCAATTTGTGCCTCTTTCCACTATCTAATTTTAATCTAACACAAAGTCAACTTTTGAGATTATGCCAACAATCCTTCCCTCATGTTTGGTTTGAGCTCCCCATAAATCTGCAAAACAGAGGTATCAGTCTCCTTTAAACTCTGCTCTATAATGACTATCAAAATAGTTGGCCATTTAAAGACTTTTTTTTTTTTTTTTTTTTTACTCTTATGTCAGTGGAAAGCATCCCCCTCCTCCAACTGTTTCCTTATTTTTTGTTTATTGTTTTATACTTAAGATGTAAAGTCTTTGAAGTAGAGAGATCTTGGCCTTGTACAGTACATAATACAAAGAGGTTCTGATCAAAGAATAAAGCTAGGTATTATAACACAACCGCATCGTTCATATCAAAGATATAATCATTAACCAACTTGTTTACTTTCCCTTTTGAAAGATCAGTCCATTTTTAAAAGGTGTACTGAAATGAATTTGTAATGTTAATGACCCAACAAATGCAAGCAACTGAAGCTACAATAAAAATGAAAAATCACTAGACAGGATTGTTAGCTGTCCAACTCAGTATTCAGAGTTTAGGCAAACATTACTCCTTTTTACAAAAAGGGTATTTTTTTTAATGTTTTTTTAAAAATGAATTATTACTCATTCCTGAACGTTATTTATGTGTAGGCTGCTCAAATGTAAAATCATCCAAACTCAACTCTATTCAGTTCTAACTTTTAAACAATAATTCAGCACTTTCAGCTATTTGATGCTTTCCAGTAATTGACTGTGCTATGTAATTAAAAGAAAAAAAAAAGCTTCTAACAAGGTGGAAATCTGGCAAATAAAGCATCCTGTTGTATCATGCAATTGCTATGCAGTTGCTAAGAAAACTACAGCTTTACCTAGAAAAAAAAAAATCAATGAGGAATTTCTATCAAATCCCATTTCTAAACAACAGGGAACTATATTTTCCTGCTGCTTTAACCAAAATAAAACCTTCCATGTTTACCACAGCAAAAAACATAACTTGCAATTTGAGATTAGAAAGACTGTATATTTTAAAATTCAGTCTCTCAAAATCACATATCACAAGTCACTTTGATAACTGCGGGTAAAATAACAAAAGACAAAAGAGGAAAAACAGGTTAAGAAAAACCTCAGTAGAGTCTGACTAACAAAAAACGACAGCTAAGTGAGGACATTACTAACTAGAATACCACAGCAATTCAAAATGTTTATCCTCAGAAAAATAGTATGTGAACAGTATAAAACATACTTAAGCTAAGACAACTGATTTTGCACTGAAACAGCTGAGAATAATTACACTCCTCATTGATTGTTTTCCAAACTAGCATATTTCCAGTGAATGTACTCTAAATTAAGATAATACAGGGTGTGCTTCATATAGAAGTAGGCTTCCACATATTCATTCATGAGTGTTGTTATTTTTCCTATCATGTCATCTTCAAAGTAGGCCTCCTGCAACCAAATTGCAGATGCAGCTACACTGCTACACTTAAAACAAATTTCCAAAATATGACTCATACTCGCAGAATGGCAATATTAATTTCCAAAGTTGGCAGCTGTGGAAAATTTCCAGGTGTTTATTATCACATTAAGTGAAAATTTAAGTATTAATTAAAAAGGTTGTTGCAATTAAGGAACTAAGGACATTTAAACAAGTGTGGTTTGTGGTGAGGGGTAACTTTGTACCATTTTTGTATTGGGAAAAAATGTAAATGAACCAAAAGATCCTAACTCCCCACCCCTCCCACCCCCAAACACAGTAACACAGAGCAGTCCAAAACCACGGTGAGATTTTCCCAGCTGTAACATCCATTATAGTAAAAATGTGTGGTTGTTGGGTTTTTTTCGTTACCCCAACCTTCACCTCTCAGCCTGGTTTAGACTTGTAATACCTACCCAATAACACAAATAAAGATTAACAAAGAGCATCTTCATATTCTGTCTCTAAATATGAAAATAAGCTGCTAGTTTTCTCATTCTTTTGTTGTAGTGGATTATTTAAATGGATTTATTTATTTTTAGCACATAATGAAAAACCCAACAAATCTGCTTGCTGAAACCCCTTACGTTTCTCTTCACTAATTCACTGACAATAAAACCCATTTCATGTTTATCTTCTGTCTATTCTAAAGAAGAACTCATTTTCACTACTCACAACTTTTTTGCTCACTGGAGACAAGTTCATAGTGCAGTTTAGCAAGACCGGCTTATTGAAATCATGCTTGTTAAGTTTTTTCTTATTGTTTCAGAGTGCAGTAAGACAACTACTGTAAACACAGTCTCTTTCTTGTGAGGTAAGGAATGGACAGCATGAAGCTTTTGTGAGACTAAATAAAGATTTAAAGCAACCTGCCTGAACTTGCTCTGCAGTGGATTAGAAGCATTCACAAGATCTGTTTCGGTGGGGGTTCAGCAAGCTAAAATACAAACAGGGTATGAACTTCTTGATCCAGAAAAGCCACACTTGCATGTGACTTGAAAGAAATAAATGGAACAGTTCAGTATTTTTTCTGTATTACTTGATTTCTTTGTAGGAAAAGGTGGGGTCTACAGCAAAAGTCAGGCTGCATTGCAATTTACACAAAACCACACAAAGATGGAGTTACTGGAATGCTTACTATGGAAATGTAATAGTTACATTAACAGGAGCAGTATCAAAAGTTTACCATTTTGGGTAGCAGCCGTATGTGTTCCATGTCAGTCTGAAACTCTCTAGGAGTAATGGTACACTTCAATGATTCTCTTGTTGCTTTTTTATTATACTTGTTTCCAAGAATTGTATTAAGATACGTATTAGTTAAGTTTAAAAAGGTTGCCTAGTCCCAAAATTCTCAAATGATTGTAGTAACACATACCAATTCCAATCCTAATCCCAGTCAAACTGCCTGGGGATAACTGGTATGCAAATATTTTAAGTTACAGTAAGAGACACACAATGCTAAGGCAACATATGTAAATGTGTATGGTGGACACAAACACAAGTGAGCCCAGGCCAGTGTCGCCTGTTAAACCAGCTTAAAGTAGCTTGATACCACACTGCCTCTACTTTTGTGCCAGCACAAATGCTTATGTGATCCTTTAATAAACCAGACTGTAGGTTTCTTCTGGGTTAAAGTTTTAGCTTAGTTCTACAATACTAATTAGTTCTACAATACTAAAAAGGTACTCCTTGCACAATTACTTGATGAAGGAAGAAGCACATACTTCTCTCTCATCTCTGATGTGTGAAGCTGTGTTTTGAACATATGTTTTAAGTTAGTTTGCAGTCAAAAGTAGCAGCTGTCTTATTTTCATGTGTCCTGGGTTCAGCTAAGTACAACAGGGCTTATGGCCTAGACCAGTACCCATGAATTTTGTTGTTGATCTTCTATTATTAATAAGGCCTTTGTATATCACTGACTAACTGCAGTCATCACTTTTTACACCCCACAATAGAAAAATCATTAAAAAGTCACAGATTTTTGGAAAGGAGAGAAACATAATGTACATAACCAATTTTAACTCAAACTAAAAAGAAAAGCATAGGGAGCACAGCTTCTTCAACCAGAACCAAGTCAGAATATGCACAAAAACATGCCTTCTGTAAACTCTTCATGAAAAGATTGCCAAGACTCCTAAAGTAGCAGTTGTGTTAAAATCAGAATTTTGCACTAGAGCACCTCTTTGTTGCAAAAGCCTGGACTGGGCAGTGCGAGGGAAGAGTTCTGGTATGTGATATATGTGGTATCCTTCCTCTGACAGCTGTGTTGAGTATCTATTCAGAGATTAAATAGATCAAATTCTAATGAAGGTCTCAAAGTAACTAAGCAGTTTACAGCTGAGGACAGGTCAGCTTTTTACGTGTCAGCCTACACATCCCCAAGCTGTGAAACCTCAGTTTCCAAGGAGTTACAGAAAACCCTAACACTTTGCCACTTACACGTTAAAAACACAAGTATGAATGATTCTCCCCGATAATTCCATCTCTGCCTGAAAATTAATCTTTAACACTAATGGAAAGAGCAAAGAATTTTCAAACAAAAAGAAAATTCCTATCTTGTAAAAGCTTTACTAAACCAGCAACTAAAAATAAATATGCCTACCGGTCCTCAACTATTCCTACTAAAAGCAGAAATGAAGAAGTTTGCTTTTTGAAATCTGGTGCAGTAGGAAAAAGTCCGTTATCAACAGATTTGAAAAAGAAACTTTAAAACATAACAAGAAGCAGCATATGCAATGATACAGAGAACTTGATATCCCCTGGAATACAGATTGAAAGTGTTTAAAAAGCCAAATAAACACCACAAACGAACAGATGCCAGTGCTTTTCACAACCTCAAGTAAACCCAAGGATGACACTCTTAACAAACTATAACTAAAGTGTTTTGCTGGAAGGATAATGAGAAATCCATGATGGATCCCAATATTAAAACACCTATGAATAAGTTCTGCGGGTCCAGCAATTCACAAGATCTCCCACATAATCATGCATGTAGATTCATCAATGCATCTACACCACTTCCAGTTCATTTTGTTGTCTAGTTCCTAAAGACTTAAAAAAAAAAAAAAAAAAAAAAAAAAAAGAAAGAGAGAGAGAAAGAAAAGTCTTTTGGAGTGCTAGTGTTCAATTGTGTCACTCACGGACAGTGCTGTCACAACATACATGGTCAGTGGTTACCCATCAAATGTATTACTTCTAATGTTTTTTTTTCATATTGATTTCCAAAGGAGATAATTCTATCTTGAATCAATTTTTCAAAAGCTTCGATATCAGGTGTCTTCAGACATAAAATAGCACCTATTGATCTATTTTAAAAGGAACTCATTTATTATAGCACTTACCTGTGCAGTTTCTGTCATTTTTTGTTCAAAATCAGATTTAAATGCAGCGTATTTCTCCACATACAGTTTATAGGTATCTGTAGCTTTTTTTGATTTAACTGCTGCCTGTAGGTCAGTACAAAAAAGTGTCAAATGTCACACATATGATCTGATCCAAGGTTTTTAAAGACACTATTAAAAGAAAGCCTAGGATGATCTAGAAGTGGCATATCAAAACAGTGAAGTGTCATTACAAAATTTCACCACCAAGTAACTCAGATTCAAGCCATTAGGGATTTCTAGTCAAGCTATACATAAACCACATAAAATGGTAACAAAGCAACTAATTTAAACCACTTCCCCTTATCAGCAATAATAAATTTATAATATACCGATTTGAAATCAAAACTGTATTGCTGAACTAATTAGCTGTTTTCAAATATTTAGATCTACAACAGAAAAAAGAAAACCAGATCAGAATGCAGAGCAGAGTTATTTGCAGAATTCTGACAAAGTTAGTGGTTAAAAAAAAAAAAAATCAGGAAAGCACAGTTCTCTTAAAAACACATCCAGAATAACAGAGCCTGAAAATACTTCACTGTTTGAACAATATGGATCCTTCAGGCATTAAAAGAAGAGCATGACAGGTTGTATGAATCTTATCAGTTAGTTTTCCTGAATTTTACTTCATGATTCTCACTCTCGCACATTCGCACAAGGGAATTACTGAGAAGAAAACAGTTCTACTTTGTTTCCCAAATGCCATGTACTATGCTGAAATTAGAAGGTGCTCTATGAACACCTGCTTTCAGAAATAACTGAGTTTGTTTTAAAATAAAGTGATTCCAACCTTAACCACTAAAGAGGAAGGAAATGACCAGTTAAAAGACTTCAAAAATAAATTTCTTCATAAAGCATTACATAATCCCAAATGCATGGATTTGCGAAAAAAAAAAAAACAAAAACCCAAAACCAAAAAAAAAAAAAAAAAAAACCCCGCAAAAATATTCTGTCTCTTATAATCATGTTTAATGATGAGGAAACTGTGAGTGTTATGTGCTGAAGAACGTCTACAAAAAAACAACTACTCAACGGGACAGACAAAATGATGAAACACGTGCACATTGTATGATTAACTAGTAATCTCTCCTGAAAACAGGATGTGTCTATTCTCAGATGCAGCAATTGCTAGAACTCTATTTAGCAAATTTACAGTAAGAGAAAGTATAAGGATCAGTCAAGAATTTTTTGTCAAGTCACTATAAATAGAGAAGTTCACATGTCAGAGAACAACAGGAAATTATTACGCAAGTTAACACCAGATTTCAGCTGCAATGAAAATTGCAAGGACTTGGATACCTCTTCAGATTCTTCAATAAAGTATTTCACTACATATCTGGCTTTATGATTAGCTCTTAGCGTAATTAGTGCAATAACTGTAATATCACAAGTATTCTGTTATTGTGATAGAATACTTTTTTATGTTGTGCTAAAACTAAAAAACCTATTCTCTGCCAAAGGAAAAATAAATGAATACAATCTTTGTCACCACATTTCTGAAACTGCAAGTGTAAATCTGAATAAAGACATAACTGAAAAATGCGATGGTCATGGTTACTTGCTCCCACTGGAAACATATATCAAGTACTTTCAGAGCATTCAACTATGGACTAATTGTTCAAACAGAAGTATCCAAGGAAGATGCATAAAACAGCACTCTATAGTGCTTCTATTTCTCCCTTCTCACATAGACATCAGACTGAACTTTTTTTTTGTTTCTAGCTAACAAGGATAATGCTACATCTTAATACTACATCTTCCATCAAGTCAACTTTTCCTACTGAAAAGTTTCATTCTATTTACAAGAATTCAGAAAAATTGTACTTTGAACAGACTGGCAGAAAAACATCTGCCAACCCACATATTTCTGATTCATGTCTAGAATCCAACATTGACTGTCACTGGAAACAGAAGCTAGGAAAAAAAAAATAATCTAGTTTTATATCAAAAATAAAACAATCGGAACATGGTCAACAAGATCACTTTTGTTATCAATGAAGACAACAACCAGCTCTATCTGGTCCTTCAAGATACCATTATAAAAGGCACTAAGATCATTCTAATATGAACAGAGTCCTACAAAGATCATGTCATTGAAATAGAAGCAGGCAGAGGTATCAAGATTTAAAACCAGAAGACAAAGAGTCAGGGAAACATGACCTCTTTCCTCTACTAGTTTCCTGGAAACAGGAAAAGATTAAGGGAGGTGATCCTTCCCCTCTACTCTGCACTGACGAGGCCACACCTGGACTACTTGTACCCAGTGCTGGGTTGTCCATTGCAAGAAAGGCATGGACATCCTGGAGAGAGTCCAGTAAAGGCCCACTAAGATGATTAAGGGTCTGGAGCAGCTCTACTATGAGGAAAGGCTGAGAGAGATGGGACTGTTCAGCCTGGAGAAGACTCACAGAGAATCTTATCAGTAGTACAAGGAACTGAAGGGAGGGTACATAGAAGAGAGACAGGCTCTTTTCACTGGTGCCCAGTGACAGAACCAGAGGGACTGGGCCCAAACAGAAACGCAGGAGGCTCCTTCTGAATATCAGGAAACATATTTTTCCTGTGAGGGTGACTGAGCAATGGAATGGGTTGCCCAGAGGGGTGGTGGAGTCTCCATCCCTGAAGATATTCAAAAGCCATCTGGATGTGGGCAACTGGCTCTAGGTGGCCCTGCTTGAGCAGCAGGGTTGGACCAGTTGACCTCCAGAGGTGCCTTCCAACCTCAACCATTTTATGATTCTATGAATAGATCAAATTCCCCCATAATCCCAGCACAGTACCAAATACTCATCCTTAGGTATCTAGTCCATGAAATTGGAACATTTTAAATTAGCACTAAAAGCAACGTTAATTTGTTTTTCTTCTTAATGGAACAGACTTAAGATACTGTGTAATTAGCTACCATGTCTCACTGAAAGGAGAACACCCCTCTATTCCTTAATTCAATAAAAAGGACATTGAGTGCTTCTGTATTTACCTAAGGAAATTTAACCAAAACCATAATAGATGCTGAAACAATTATACACGATTTCTGTAAAAGCCAGTAAACAAAATTACCATATGATGCAGGTATATACAAAATAAAGAATTAAAACTACAGTGCAGTTAGAACAGATAAGGAATTGTAAACAAAACGGAGTAAGTATTCAAAATATCATGCACATTATGAAATAGCCACTTTCTACTACTTCTATTTTCAGCCCTTTGTGAGCATTTCACTCACTAATATGAGGTAGTGAATGTATTACTGATTGACAACACAGTGAATCAAATTAAGATGCCACAGCACTACCTTATCAACTTCTCTCTGTGTTGCTCCTTCCTTTTTCAAACGTTCATGTTCAACACACTTGGCATTGTAGTTTTCCTTTGATTTCTGTAAGGCCTGAGTGATACTTTGAATATTTTGCACTGCTTCCAATGTTCCTGAAACGTCTTCTTTAGTCTGCCAAATATCACATGGTTGTCAAAACCAAACCATTTTAATGTTAACAAGTCATTGGACATGCATAAGAAAAAACTAATAACCTTTTTATAAGCTTTGATTTGTTCATCTCCGTATTTGTGAACTTCTTTTATTAGCTCTTGTAATCTCCGCACAAGATCCAAGTGACAGCTTGCTAGTTTTTCTGTTGAGGTTTTGAAAACATCCCAAACTGGTGCAAATGTCCTAGATTGAAGAAATATGAAATATATTTTAATAGTGGTAAGGGATAATTGATAAGTTTTCAGAAGTTCACTGTTTCTAAACCAGAAACAAACAAAACCAATAGCAACTGCTATAAATTCTTATTTTATGTTTCAAATGTACTTAGAATCTTATCTACTGATTTTTCCATGTTTAAAACTTTAAAGCACTGATGTTCAAACCAACACCAGTGATACAGATACAAAACCTCTGAAGAGCAGCAACAACTGGTATCAAATTATCCACTGACAAAAGCTGCCCACAATTCTGGCTGTTATTACTACAAATAAAAAAATTTAGTCATATTTAAGAAGTTTGAATTCTTGTTGGTATAATCTTTCTAATGAAAAAACACTCAACAATCATTCTAGTTTTTAAAAACATTACCCCGTGTATAAGACTTTCATTAAAGTATGGAATAAATCTATTGAAAAGTCTCATTCTTACCATCTCTGAGGACAGAAATAACACCCCAGAAAGCAGAAATAATAGAAATAAATAAATTTACTGCCACATTTGCAGACCATATGTTCTCTCTATCATCGGCTTGGGAGCATAGGACAGAAAGTCACATTCTTTATTATACTGAAAGGAACTCAGCCTTAGATACAGAGAAACAGACAGTTCCTCTGGGTTTGGGCTTTGTTGGTTTTTGTTTTGAACTGTGAATAAAGAACTGTACTGTCTTTGTTGTATATATAGTTATATGACATTTGCATGGTTACTGAAGAACTAACAATCATTTTTAAAGGTGGCAAGGTTGTACTACTTTCAACTTCATCAATAAAATACTCAGAATCAAACTTGATTCATAACATGAATACAGTTATTTATTTATCTCTTATGTACACTTACTCACCCAAGTTGTGTGTAATTGCTTGCTGATTTGGCTAGTTTTGTCATTGACCTTGAATATGCCTCTTCTATTGTAGCCCTGTCAAAGAAAAACATTATAAGCATAACCGAAATTTTGAAGATATTTGAAGACAGACAAATATGCATCATAAATATGCAAAACAAGGGACTTTTTACTTAATGACCCCTCAAAAAACATATGCAAAATCAGAAGTATATTAGAAAAAAATAAGAACTCTAAGAACCCAGTGACAGAATGTTGCAGGGAACAGAAACAAGCAAAACCTAGGAAGTCAAAACTTGAAAAAGATGATTCCTTCCCTCCTTCCTATACTATACTATCTGCTGTTCCTCTCTGCCTTTAACATTATTTAGTAGCAGTTAGAACAAAGTGACATAACAATCACCTGCCTAGCACTGTCTAAACACCAGAGATATACAGAGCACCAAAATCAAATAGATTTGTAACTAAAACATTGAAATAAACAAACTGAATGGCTTTTTGTTTGCTTAAGTTCTTTGCATAAAGGTATTTGAGTTTGTAAAACTGTAAAATTAACATGCAATGTAAAGTATTGTGTTCTACTGTTTATACTAATCTTTAAAGAGGGTTGTCTCAATACATTTCAATTTATTTTGGAAAACCTCTTCCCCACATAATGTTTCAGTATATTTTCCTGCACTCAAACCCACAATTTTACTTGTCTTTTTGCAGATTCAAAATCCAAAGGTCAGCATAGATGTCCTCCTTAGAACCTCTGCTGGGGCAATCACCAGGGCAATCAGCAGGCAGTCACACACAAAGTATTACAGGAGTGACCCCTTGCCAGTCCTTTCCCCATCAGTCTTGCTTATTCTCCTATTACTAAAGATACACACCATTTTAATTTTCTATCCTTAATCAATATTCAATATGTAGTGTCAACTTAGATTTAGAAGCATCCTGGATTTGAGAGAATACTGTAATTGCCTTTTCCTGAAAATGCAAAATCTTGCAGCAATTTCTTTCATGCTGTGTAATAACTCTATTCAGGGGAAAAAGAGAGAGGAAAAGAAAGGGAGATTAAGAACTCATGACTGTCTCAAGTTATACCATGCCCACTTATGGCTGAGGCAGAGGTTTTTATTTTTCCTTCAGAGCAACACTTCACAATGAAAAAGAGTTTTCTCATGAAAATATGAAACAGAGCAGCAGTAGTCACCTGAAACAGAGGTACATGTATTTAAACCTACTGAACTTTGAAAATAGCTAAACAGTCAGTTCGACTATCAATTGGGAGGAGATTAAACTGTAAAATGCAACAAGTGAATTACATTTTAAATCTCACCTACAAATAACTGTGAAATTACTGGCCACAAAGAAGTCAATTAACTTTATCCTCCGTCTATATATGTACATATTTTAATGATAAGAAAAAGCTTCCAAGGTTTGAAATTCTTGCTCACTGCACAGGAACACACAGACACCCAGAAGATACACTAATTTTTTTTAATTATGATGATGAATAATGTATTTTGGTTAATGCTCAATAGCTTCTAGCAATGTTTTCTACATTTCCTAGGTCTGTGCTTCGCCCTCCCCCCCTTTTAGTTAAATGGGAATATATGAATTGACAGTTTCTTCTGATCAAGAAGATTCTTTTTATGACACTTTCAGGCAAGTGATGCCGAAAAACATTTGAAAAACTTATGGAGAAAAGCCAAAACAATACCCATTAAGTTCCCATCTGTGCAGAGTGGTTTTTACACATAAAGAATTGTGTTTGTGTGTATTTAACACCTCAAAGTAGTTGACAGTATTAAGACATTATCTTCCCTGTATTTAAAGAAAATAAAATCAGTGCAGCCCAAACTTCTTATATTTTCTCTTCTTTATAAATGAACTTCTACATGCTTTATCAAGAATATAACAGATACCTATCTTACCACAGACAGATAGATAAGCTGCTCTATTCAAGACTTACCAATACTGAGCAGATTGTCTGCCACAAAATTCACTCTTTCAGATGACGTATTTCTGAACCACAGACCCAACTGTCTCTCAGTTCTTTAGTACTTGACCATTAAAAGATACTCAAAACCAAAAATGAAAAGTGAAACAACACTGTTGAAAATTGAATTGGTATTGACTAAACGAACACAGATAAGGAGGAAACCTTCTGCTCCTTCTAGGGATATTCAGTTGGAACAGCAGATATACTATAGAAATAATATATTATTACAAACAAACACATTTCAGACACTTTTTTTTTCCAGATGAAAAAAATCTGTAATTTCAGAAGGTTCTTACAGAAGGTTTGAAAGAAAAATCTTTTAAAAAATTCTTAGGCTGACTATAATAAAGTTTTCCAACGTTCCATGCAATTTTTCTGTTTTCATTACTATTTCTAAGGCTGGAGAAAAGAGAACAATAGACTTTTCCCCAAATAGGCTGCACACAACCAAAACACTATTCTCAACACTGAAAGTGACAGAGACTGGCTTCATACAGACATGCATCCTTTGTGACCTAAGCAGTCTGCATATCCAGATACACTCAACCACCTTTCCTTTCTCTCTGAGATCACTCCATAAAAAAAAAAAAAACCCCAAACAAATTCTGTGCCTGTTCTGGAGATTCCAGCAATCCTGACCAACTAGGTGACTACTGTCAAACAGTACATACAAAGGTTAAGTACTCTAACTCGTTGAAAGTATTATCACCAACTCAGACCTGACTCTACCTATCCAGCAGTTTTCAGTTTTCACCCAGAGCAAGCCGCTTCTAAGGAACTATGATGAAACCTTGCCAAGTAAATTAAAATGTAGTACTAAGATTTAGTGAATTTCAGTCTGTTAATGAGAAATGAAATTTTTCACATATATTAACAAAAATGCTGTAAAAAGGCTACATATATCTTTGGCACATCCTATTCATGCACAAGAACAGAAATAAAATTTCTTTATCTCTCATTAAGGATAAAGTGCCCATATGGATCCTCATGTCTTTAGTCTTAAATATCTTTAGTCTTAAATGTTATTTAAACTTGTTTAGCTGGGGAAAAATAAATGACTCCTTTATAAATTACTAGAATTAATTAGCAGAACTTTATTTGAAGAATTTTAAATATGTGGAGAAAGGTCCAAATATTTTATACATTGATTGCAAAGGCACATCTCATTTAAGTTTTCATTTGGAGGAATTTACAGAGTGAAAAAACCCCTAGAATACCACATTATTTTTGCTAGGAATTTTGTGTAGAATTGACTGTTAAGTTTTATTTATGTCACTATAATAAAGAAAAGAATCCAAGCCAGATATAGTATCGTAATGTGTTCGCTGGAATCAGTGATTCTTGAAACACAAGATTCCTTGTCTTGTGTAGTCCTTCCAACAGGAGACTGCCCATCACACATGCACTCCAACTCAGATGTTTCTGCTTAGTTGAAAGATCTGTCATTTTCTCCAATTCACTTTGAAACTATGTAAATGTCAGCACTCAGAGTACCTGTTGTGGTTGTTACATTTTGTGGAAGCTTAAAAGAAACTTTGTTAAGATTTATTTGAGGCCAAAATAAAAATTTTGATGAAAAATTCCAGAAATCAAAAGCTGTTTTGCTGGACAGCTTTTACTGCAAAAAACCTTCACTGAAACAGGTCTTCAATCAGTCTCTTGCAAGGTTTCTCCTTGTATCATCTGGTAAGGGTAATGGGATTAAGACAAAATTCTGAAGCAGACATATAATTGATTTTATCCAGAACGAAAACTGTTCTGTTCAATGTAGCAGTAGCAGAACTCTTCTTTCACAGAACAACTAAAACCAGCACTAAGTCATCTGTTTCGGAAGTTGTGACATTTGCAGATTTCAGTTCTGTCTTTTCCATCCCATAGAGAAGAACCTGTGTTATTTTCTTCATAATATTTTCTTGTCCCTATGTATCACTCCTTTTTCTTTAAAAAAAGTTAGTTTCTCATAATCTTAATCTGAAGGTATAAATTTTAAGATCATACCAGAAGTTGCTAATACCTTTATTTTACATCTACAGACAAAAACTGCTAAAAAGACCGAAAAATTTTGCTACTTTAAATTATAGCTTTTCTTCCAAACATGAAAAAAAAAATCAGAATTCATTTGAACAAACTGTTGGACACCTATGTGACAATTCTAGGTTTTTACTCTTGTTTTTTAATTAGCACCTGAAAAATTAGAAGCTTGTTATTAATTGATGCTTAAGAGTCACTGTTCAGTTCTTAGAGAATGTAATAAACCTAGATATTCTCACAGGATACAAGAGATATTTTAAAATGCTCATTGATTTTTATGTATTTTGCATGTTACTGTTAAACATGATGACAAACTTAAATAAAAAGCACAAACAGCATATTAAAAAGCCAAGATTACCAAGGATGGATGCTCACCTTTCTCTTATAAAGTCTGCTAAGTCTTTTGTTGACAGATGTCCATGTTTCATGTTGTGATAGAGGACATCAAAGCCATTGTTCCTTTCCCCCTAAAGATAAATAACAAGGAAATAGAACTAAGAAACACAACATTCCAAAGCAATCACAGAACAAAGTATAGAACCTATGCACTTCAATAACTGATCAAGTTTCATGACATGAATGATTTCTAACGCTTCACATTTTTACCAGTTGCAATTAGGTCCCTTCAATACTCTATATGTAAAGCAAATTAAAACCACCTCAGCAGCTAGCACTACCCTTCTAATGACAACTCTTCTATTACATATTTCAAGGCTATATTCAAACCCTTTTTTTTTTTAGTATTTCTACAGGTCTTGTATTCTTTCACTTCCCATATTATTAAACACATACTAAATATTGTACTCTCTCTTTATTCTCTCATATCTTCCATTATTTTCCATGAACTAATGTTCACACTTTGATATTACTGGATATCCCGCTTTCCCAGTTCTTCACACTTCATGTATCTTCCTCTGTTTCTTGTAAAATTGGTTAAAAAAAAAGGAAAAAGGAAAAAAAATCACTAATCTCATCCTTCTTACAAGAATCTTCCCTTTGTGCATTCTTAAGGTTAGTTTTAAACTTCAACATTTTCCTGTAAGGTGTGCCTCACCATTAAAACGGAGCCATTGCCCTCATCACTGATAAATAAACTCAGCCATCTTATCACCTCTGGCACTGTCATGAACTTCCTCCAGACAGGAGAAACCAACAACAGAAATTAAAGGAAGGCAAGGCATGGCATACCATATAGTACTGTTCCTAGAAAAGTTCTCCTGTCAAGCTATCCATTCCCCTCCACCCAGCTGCTACAAAAGATAGAGAAGCACACCCTCAGGAAAACTGCATGCATGTTCAGAGTGGAAGGGAAAGAAGATGGAATACAACAGAATAGTTCAGTTGGAAGGAACATACAATGGTCATCTAGTCCAACTGCCTGACCACCTCAGGGCTGACCAAAATTTAAAGCATGTTGTTAAGGGCATTGCTCAACTGCCCATTAAACACTGACAGGCTTGGGGCAACGACCACCTCAGGGCTGACCAAAATTTAAAGCATGTTGTTAAGGGCATTGCTCAACTGCCCATTAAACACTGACAGGCTTGGGGCACCGACCACCTCTCTAGAAAGCCTGTTCCAGTGTTTGACCACCTTCCTGATAAAGAAATGCTTCCTAATGTCCAGCCTAAACTTCCCCTGGTGCAGCTCCATCTTGCCACTGGATCCCAGGGAGAAGAGCTCAGCACCTTTCTCCATTTGCCCTCCTCAGGAAGCCTTAGAGAGCAATGAGGGTCACACACTTCAGCCTCCTTTCTCCAAACTAGACAAGCTCAGAGCCCTCAGCCATTCCTCACAGGACATGCCTTCCAGCCCTTTCACCAGCGTTGTTCCCCTCCTGTGGACCTTCACATCCTTCTTAAAATCCTGGACTTTTCACAGCAGCAGTTCTACATCTCCAGTTAGAGAAGCCTGAGGATTTGGTCATACACCCCTCAAAGTATTTCTGTCCCTTCTTTTCCAGAAAAATTTGTTTGTGCAGCCATGAGGTGCATCTCATCAGGAAAATTATACAGCTGAAAAATCAAGATGTATAATAAAGGCAAATAAAAACAAAGATTGGTGATCCAGATCACTACGAGGACACAAACAGCTGCATTGCTTAGCAGAAGAGGTGGGAGCAAAGAGCAGGCGGCAGGCAGTGATATGCCAGTTTATGTAAGTGGAAGCAGCCATGGGTGGATGGAAGAACTTTGCAGCAGCCACGGCAGTAGGCACACTTCTGTGAAGTGTTAACTGCACTAGATAATACGTCAGTCAATAATATAGCAAGTTGCCTTAAAGGGCACCACGCACAGACGCATGAATTTACAAATAACAGATAATGGAAGGCAATTTGATTCACATTACTAGCCAGGATTAATTGCTTTACTTCTTCCAAGCATCAGGGAACACAAAACCAAACAAACAAAAAGAAAAAACACCTACAAAATCACAATTCCTAAGGCTGCAGCAAGTTCTAACCTGAAAAAGTTCATCAAAATGCAGATCAGTTTGGCATAAATGCAAGTACAGAAAGGTCTCTTAAAACTACAAGCAGAACTAAATTGAATACATGAAAGTACAGCAAACTAAGAGGACCACCTACTGAGCAAAGCTTTTATAAATTGAAAAAATATAAGGATAAGAACACCAATTAGTAGGAAATGTAATTTTTTTTAAAATGTTGTCTTACACTTTCAAGAACTATTTTAAACAGTTTAACTCCTATCTAACTATTTTTCCTTGTAGTTTGAAACTCACAATAATTTTAACTACCGGTGCGCTAATAAGTAGCTTATTATCTTCCTGTATTTATTCAATATAAAACCTGAATGCCACCACATTACAAAAACACCAGGATAATCTGTAATTAAGACCTCAGCAATATATTCAGTAAGAATAATAATTAAAAAAAAGTTCTTATTTAACTACTCCAAAGTTCTTACTGTACCCAAATTTGGAGCTAAACATTTACAAGTAAGTGTTAGGCACTTCTTCCAGATAACTAATAAAACTCTCCTTTAAGAAATGTTCTTTCCCTCTGCCTTAAGGTGTTTCTTCTAGCTAAACCAACACATCTGTCAAAATGTGGTGAACACAGACTGCTTCTGAACTTTTCATAATGGGAGGTTTAATGGGCACTTTTCTATACTGGAGATCCATAAATTTCCTGTCACTTTAGAAATACAGGAAGAGTAGCATAGCCATGACCCAGCCTCTGGCTGCAGCCTTCCTGATAGCTGATAATCTGTCAGAAATGGAACTCTGCAGACCTTTGGAGAATGGAATGAGCCAGAACAATGAATTCCCATCGTGACCTTGTTCCCTATCTGTAACTGAAGGTTACTGCAAAGGAACTAATTTTTCCACTTAAGTTTTCTAATCACTCCTACCCTTTTTTCTAACTTCACATTGAATAGGAGAAAGCACAACAAAGAAACAGAACAAGTACTTTTCTCAATTAAAAAAAAAAACCTCCCCTGAAAGCCACATCTTTTATACATTTTCAATAGTTATCAGAGGCTAAGAGGCTATGTAAGAAAAATATTTAGGTTTAAAAAAAGCAGCAAGTCCAAAGCAGGCTCCGAGATTTGAGGGCCTGTATGGTTTAAGCTTGGCAGAAGTAAAAGGCACTTTTTCACTTGTGAATATATTAGCAAATGTAGCCTCTCTCACCAATATTAGGCTCCTACCTATAAGAACAAATATCTAGACTTCAAAACTGTTCAATAATTTACATGATCAACAGTTCTGATGATTAACCTGATTTAAATTCTATAATGTTATCTTCCACTTGCGTTTGGAGACATACGTATATCTATGTCAAATTAAGTATGATATCTCAGTGCAGTGAGTAGACACTTTTCTTCTTAGCAAAGCTATACGTCCTGTCCACAACTCCTTCATTCAGTAGTTACATTCCTGAAGAGTAGCTCAAATAATTAACGTATTACAATCAGAGTTAAGGCTCTGTATTTAGGATAAACTCAGAGATGTATGCTGTGGCTAAGAGAAAAAGTAGCTTAATTTACAGAAAATAAGTATGTATTGTCTTACATACACATATGCCATCAACACTATTTGTGTTATGATTGTCTTTCCTCTACACTGCCCCTCCCCACACACATTGTATAAAATTCTATACATGGAAATTGTGTGTCAAGCCAATTTTTCTTCATTAAGTGTTTTTACCTGCTCCTTCCTGATGGCAACAGTAATAACTGGGATCACCAAAAGCCCAGTACCAGCCTACTCAAAAATAAATAAATGTAGCACATAGCAGAGGGAGTTGATAAGACCTTCCACTCCCATTCAGAAGCACTGCTATGACAGATAGACAGTGAAGTCAGATGCAGATTCTTCCACAAGTTGCATCTTGGAGAAAGTAGAACCTCTGTTGTGATGTATAACGTCAGATTGTACGCAACAGACTTCTAGGTAAGTTTGAAAGACCATTCTGAATGTCATTTTGCACGTAAAATGCTGTTGAGGATGATTCTGTCATCATCCAACAGAAAACAATTGTAAAACTGTGCATGAGAATGCAAAATATAAGTGGTCAACTCTCCAGATAGGCTCTATTTAATTACTTTTAAGTTCATTAGCAATTTTCTCCTTTTGCCCTAGAGATAACAAAACTCTCTGTTCAGAAGCTGGTGTTCTTGCTGATATTTCCCATTTTATACTGCCGTAAGAGAGATCTTCTGTCTATATAATATAGATGACCCTGACAGCAAGTCATAAGAGGAAACCAGACTTCAAATACAAGTAAATACTTCACTTGAATAAGCCTACAGTGAGGCATTACTGGCCAACTTTGAATACAAAATAAAGTCACAGAAAGTATGGGCAGACAGTCCTTCCTTTTCCCTTCCTAACTGCAATGATCTCCTCATGGAAATGAAAGTAACAATGTCAGCAAATGTGAAGTCAGATTTCAGCATTTCCATGACTTGTGCATAACAGGAAGCAGATTACAGGAACTCTGTTTTACTGAGCTACTTAACAGACTTTGAAAATTCTTAAAAATAGATTTGTTTGTTGCATATAAAGATGATTCTGAATTTAAACCCTACATTTGGTAAAGTATCAACTTCCAGGGAATCTGCAGCAGTACATATTTCCTACGTTTCTAACCAAAATATATGAGAGCCAGCTCTGTTGCTTTAGACTAAAATTGTTCAACATTAACTTCTATTAGTGTAAAAAGTGAATACTCTGTACTATAGGAGTGTCTTCTTATCCCGTATAAACAAATGTTTCTCAATTACTAAGGTCATTCTAAAGTTCCTATCACTGGTCAGATATGTACTAAGTGTTTCAAGAGTGTGAGAAGCACAGCTGCAAATACTGTTTTCACAGCAAAACTAAGTATATGACAAAATAAAAGGCATATGCAGTTCTTAAATGCATTAATATTTTGGTCAAATGTTAAAAGTTTGGTGAGAGAAGTTCAGACGAAGTTTGATGTTGTCTAAGCTCAGCAAGTAAAG